TTACTTTGTCAGATTTGCAGTCTAGGATCCTGTTATGCTGAGTTAGTTTGAAAAAATGCATATAAAATAAATTAATGAAGATCGATTTAAAAATAACATCAAAACTTTGTTTTGATGTCTGTAACCACCAGTGCTAGCTCTTTTATCTACTAATTGTAGTTATCATATTTCTTCTGCTTATTGTTAGAAGGGCTTGAGCCTGTGTCTGGTGGCTAAACCCCAGGTTAATGCCCCCAATTTTTTAGACGTTATTGCTTTCTTCTGGCCTGCTGATGTGTATTCATGTGTTAATTTACAAAATTATCTATAATACATATATAGAGATACGAATTTGGACTAGCTCAACTTGAGTAGCCAACTAGATTAGCATAATAATGAAATCATCCTAATATTTTATAGCACATAGCAGGTTCCTTATTGCAGTAATAATAAATGAAATATCATTGACTTGCAAAAGAGTGAAATATACCTGTAGGACTGACAAAATAGTTTGACTACAACTAATAGAATCACAAAATTTTAATGGCAGAAGGAACCTTAGACACAATCTAAATTTAGTTCATCCCTTTAGTTTTACAGGAATAAGATACAGGGCCACAAAGGTTAAGTGTCTTGCTCAAACTTGCATATAAGCTTATTTGTGACAGAACTGTGACTGAAACCCAGGACTTAAAACTCTTTTTTCTGTATTCTTTCAAATATAATACAGTTACGTCTTAAACATAAGGCACCTCTTTAATCTGCCTTCAATGAACAGTGTAGTATCTCAGAGAGTTAATTTATTTCATGTGCCTTTTGGCTTTTGACTCTATTAGTTAACTAAATGATTTGAAATCTCTGAATTAGGTGCAATTATTATTTTAATTGGCTTGTTTCATAATGTTTCTTGTTGCTATTTATTGTAGCTTAAAACAGAATTTGACAAATTGTTTGAAGATTTAAAAGAAGATGATAAAACTCATGAAATGGAACCAGCTGAGGTATTGAGCCAATATTTTCTATTTAAAACTATTCAAAATTTTAAAATATGCTGATAATCTGTACTTGTTTTTTAACGACAAATTCAACCTTTTTAGATTCTGCATGTGAAAAAGGAAAGGGCTTAGTTTATTTCTCTTTGTGACATTTTATTTATAGGCTATTGAAACGCCATTGCTTCCACATCAAAAACAAGCTCTAGCTTGGATGGTTTCACGGGAAAACAGTAAAGAACTTCCACCATTCTGGGAACAGCGAAATGACTTATATTATAATACAATAACAAATTTTTCTGAGAAAGACCGACCAGAAAATGTCCATGGAGGGATTTTAGCTGATGATATGGGTTTGGTAATTATTTTTTCTTTAATTAATAAAATCTTATTTTATGATTATGATTTTGTAGAAAGTAATTTGAAGTAGAAAGAGATAGGAATATGTTAGTGCCAGTTTGGGATTAGATTTTACTTTCACTGTACATCACAGTTTTTCCTGTAGTTTTCACTTAAAATAATGTTAAATGTTTTGTTTGGTTAAAATACAGTTAAAATAATTAGGAAACAGTAATGTGAAAAATGTGTTTCTCCATTTTCTTTGCTTTTTCAATTTAGGGTACCTGTCTTTCATGGGTTTTCTTTTAAACAGTAAAGACAAAACAATGTTATGTGGAGTTGTATTCTATCTCAAGTATTATGGTATGCAGAGTATTAAATGGATATTTATGATTCCTTACACTAGTAGCTTTTATATACATTTTGGTCTCAGTAACCCTTTCTCCTCTTAAAAATTGATGAAGATTGGCTGGGCATGATAGCTCATGCCTGTGATCCTAACACTCTGGGAGGCCGAGGCAGAAGGATCGCTTGAGGTCAGGAGTTTGAGGCCAACTGGAGCAAGAGCAAGACCCCATCTCTACTAAAAATAGAAAAAATTAGCCAGGCACACTGGCATGTGCCTGGCCTGTAGTCCTAGCTACTCGGGAAGCTGAGGCAGGAGGTTTGCTTGAGCCAGGGAGTTTGAGGTTGCAGTGAGCTATGATGATGCCACTGCACTCAACAAGAGCAAGACTCTGTCTCAAAATACAAAAGAAAACTTATTAAAGATCAAGAGCTTTTGTTTTTGTAGGCTGTTTCTATTAATATTTATAGTATTAGGCATTGTTAATTTAAAACAGTTGACAGACTCATTACTTGTTAATATAAGTAGCATATTTTTAAATGAAAAGTAACTATTCCAAAACAATAGCAATTTTGGTGAGAAGACTGGCATTGTTTTACTTTTTGCAGATACCTTTGTTGTGTGGCTGAATAGGTGACAGCTGAATTCTTCTGTTTTCTTTACTCAATCTATTGTGATAATGTTGTTTTAATTAAAGTATATGAAGAAAATTTGTCCTCACACAGATATGTAGTTGTAAAGTGAGGAGTATTTTAATAGCCTTTCAGATAATTATAGTTTCTTTTTTGATACTATACCAAAATTCAAGTATTTGTCTATTAAAGGGTATTGGTTATAATATGGAACTTGAAATCATATCAGTGAACTTCTTATACTCTGTTTCATTAAAATCCATTTGTGTCTCTTTCCCATTGAATGAATGTTTTACCCATGCATAATTTTGTGACATCACGTATTGCTGATTTAGAAAATATTGGTTCATTGAGTTACACAGATTTGCCAAATGTTGATAAATCTTATCATGCAATATCAAAAATTTACCTCTTGATATTTCATTAGGTCATGAAATGTCTGATTTTGATTCAAAAGTGCAGTTTATTATATTTCATAAACATTTATACATACATAAAAACACACATTATTATACTTGCATGGTATATTTTTATATTTGAAAATTTTAAAATGTTTAAGTATTAATTTAAAAAAAAATTAAAGGAGTACTATGGCATGTACCTATAGTTCAGTTACTAAGGAGGCTGAGGTGAGTGAAATTCTAGGCCAGCCTGGACAATATAGCAAGACCCCATCACTAGAAATAAGTAAATTAATTAATTTTTAAAAAATCGAAGCTTAAAACTTATCCTTCGTTTCAGTAAGATTGCAAATGCGTTGTTAAAAGTTAACTCTAAATCTTTGGCGTTATTGGAGTTGTTACTTTGTCAGATTTGCAGTCTAGGATCCTGTTATGCTGAGTTAGTTTGAAAAAATGCATATAAAATAAATTAATGAAGATCAATTTAAAAATAACATCAAAACTTTGTTTTGATGTCTGTAACCACCAGTGCTAGCTCTTTTATCTACTAATTGTAGTTATCATATTTCTTCTGCTT